AGGGGTATTTCTTAGAGCTGAAAGTAATGATTCATATGTATACATCTTTAATTCAACTATTTGAAACAATTATGCTATTGAAGGAGTTGCTTTTTATGCTATAGATTATGCGTATGTAGAATTAGATTAGTGCAAAATCTTTAATAACTTAGCCTATAGAAAAACTGCTATATCAATTGAGAGAAACGCCTATTTTTTAGTTTCAAACACAATATTTTAAGAAAATCACTCATTAGTATTATCAGTTTTAGGTATTACTGAATCAATTGGCTTGCCATCTAAATTCGTAAATTGCACATTCATTGATAATTATGATTATGATGCTATATAATATATGGCTGCTATAACTAATTCTTTCGTGATAGCTTATCATGAACCATTTATATATTATCTACCTTATGAAAGTTTCTTAAGTAAGTAACATCCATTTAAAATAGAAAACTCTAACTTAGAAATCGAAAATTGCTAGTTTATTAACCAAGGAAAAATAGTTGAAGTTTTTTAGTCAATATTGATTGTAAGGAATTCAATTTTCTAAGGATCAATACTCAAGTAGACAGATGGTGGAATGTTTAATGTAGTTGGAAGTCAAGTTTAAATAACAAGTTCCACTTTTGAAAATATGACCTATGAATTTCCGACTTATTATCATTCCTCGTGTGTTTTATGGGTAGCAATTTATTCTAAAATATCTATAAATGCCTGCAATTTTAAAGGGATCTAAGTTCAGTTATCATTAGTATCCAATTCTGAAATATAGATTGCAGCTTCCTATTTTGAGAGTTTTGAATATTATAATGAGGATGATTACATGATGATTATTGAAGGCAGTCTTATGAACATTTCTAATAGCTTATTCTCAAATTTAAAGGTTTTAAGCAATAGTATAATTGACATTTAGAGATCAAGTATTTCAACAATTTAGGACTCTAATATCTTAGATTTCAACTAAATTTTTATAGCAATTAAATCATCTGAGCCATTTATCATAAAAAATTGTAATTTTAAATCTAAAACTATATATGGATTAAGTAGAGCTATTGATATTACTAAATGCAATGTTTGTATTTTAGATTCAAAATTTGAGAATTTAATTAGCAAATCTTATGGAGGAGCTATCAACGTTCTTGATGGAAGTTTAACATTAAATAATTCTGAATTTATGAATAATATAGCAGAACATGGTGGTGCAATCTCACTAAGATGCAAGAAATGTAATTATTATCTTATTTTAATTTTGCAGCTAAGTAATGCTCTTTTACTCTTGATAAAAATAAGTATCTGGGCAATAAAGCTAGTATAGAAGGAGGAGCAATTTATTACAACAAAAATAGACCAAAAGGGATTGAATAAGAAGAATTCAACGAATATAATTCTGCTCCCTATGGAAATTCAATAGCAAGTTATGGTTTTGGTATCAGGCTCATAAATAAAGATGAAAACTTAATAGCTAAAGGGTAAAAATTTGAAGGAGAATTTACCTTTGAAGTAATTTTCTAATTATTTCTACTTATAGTTAATTGATCAAGATGGTTAGAGAATGACTAATGATGAAATTTCGTAAGATAATCATTTTTAATTCATACTTGATAGGTCTTTAACTATAGAAGAATTAGATCAAAACCTTAACATAGTAGGTTCTAAATCAGCAAAGATAAGACAAGGTGTTGGCACATTTAGTAACTTGACCTTTTTCGCTCCACCTCATTATTAAAATGCAAAGGTTAGAATTTACTCTCCTAACATAGATACTATATTTCTTCGCACACTCTACACGAATGTAGAATAATCATCTATCAATAATGTGGAGATTAACCTTAGTTTTAGAGAATGCATCTAAGGCGAAATTATTACAGCTGATTCGTAATAAATTTATATTTTCACTAACTTTATACATTAGTTGCTAAAAATGCGAAATAGGATATTATTCTCTAATAAAAGATTCGGAAACTTGTAATGAATGCCCTTAAAATGCCCAATGTTTGGGAGGATCAAGTGTTATTCTAAATTCTGGATATTGGAGATCATCATTTTTTTCTTCAAAAATAATCTAATGTTTAAATTAAGATGCATGCATTGGTGGGGAGATTAATTCTCCGTCTAATTTAACTACACTTTTATAAGACACAGATATTCAATGTGCACCAGGATATACAGGCATTTTGTGTGATAATTGCAAAGAATATAATGGTTAATAATATAGAAGATTAACAAAACATACCTGTGGTATATGCCCTGATTAATGGAAATCCTCACTCAAAGCTTTTGGTTTGTTTATTCTAATATTTTCTGCCTTATCTCTGCTAGTACATTTCAATATTTCGAGGAATACAGATAGCTCAATTGTTTTGGTTTTGAGGATTGCTACTAATTATCTATAAGTTATTTCAACTACAGGGGCTTACAATTTAAATTGGCCTATCTATCTTAGAGAGATGTTTGGAGTTTATGAAACTGTAGGTGATTTTTTTGATAATGCTTTATCATTAGAATGTGTTTTTGACGTCTCGGAATTAAATATAGAAGATTTTTCCTCATATTACTTTAAGGCAATCTTGTTATCAATATTTCTTATAGGAGCTTGCATCTTCTACTTTATATTGTACAGTCTAATTTCTTTAAAATTACCAAATAACTAAAGAAATTTAAACGAAAAGTTATTCTTAATAGTTTTAATCATTACT